CCCCCGCCAGTGTTAGTGCTGCTGATAAGAGCAGACACCACTAACACCTGGGGGAGGCTCCGTCTATTGGTGGGGAGCGTCACCTGCTGGAAAACGGGTCCAGCGTCCCATATACAAAATAGAATGTCTGAGCAAAAGTGAGGACGGTGACTGTGGGGCCTGCCAGCATTGATTACCCTGCAACCCAGGGGATTGACTGAGCAGGCCTATGTAATGTCCGGTGGTGTAGACATCTGTGATGCAGTCCAGCATCCCATAGCCGGACTTTGCCTCCCCTCCTGTCCTGTGGCACGGGCGAGTATAGGGAGGGAGCGCACCGGGTGGCACTGGGTGAGTCTCCCTCCTTTACGTGGTCCATTGCCCCACCACCTACTCTCCTTACGGTGTCTTAGCTATAAACTGCCATGAGGTTGCCCTGAAATGAAATGAGATGAAAAGGAGCTGAGAAATGAGCAGAAAAAAAAGCTGATTTGAACTAAGATGAACTTAGATGAACAAAGATGAACAGGGTAGACAGAAGAAAGCTGGAATAATGCTGAAATGGACTGAGCTACAGCATGCTGTGTCATGCTGTGTCCTGTCGCTTGCCAGAAGATGACGAAAAGTGACAGGGCCGTGGTCATGGGGGGATAGGACTTCCTCCAAGGACAACGGGTGGGGGGGGAAGGGGTCTGCAAAATCCTGAGCGGGGCGTAGCGGGTCATCAGGGTCTATCTTGGTCCACTCGCGAAAAATCAGCTGATAATCTCTTGCCGTCTCTGTCCGGGGTTCTTCTTGTGGCTCTCTTTCAGACTGACGATCCCCGGCCCACCTGACCTCTCCAACCCATCCCTCCCTTTCCCCTCCCAACCAGTCCCTGCTGAAACGGGAGATAGTTCGGTTGATATCACCCCAGGTATGCATTTGGTCAAGTTTATCTTTGGCCGCCTTCCACTGGGCCGTGATTTCGTGTTGAACACAGGTACCCAGACAGCATCAAGGCCAGAAGGAATTCGGTTTCAGGCCAATCTGGTCCGTCTTTTGCATTGAGATCTGGACGGCTGAGGGATGCAGCATCCAGGGTCCAGACCCCGCGTAAACGCTACATAAGCGCTGACCTCCTGGCTTTTACATCATTCAGTCTTGCGTCAATGCTGACTTCACGCTTTGACGACGACGCAAGCTCGACGCTGCGACGCTGGCTGGACGCTGGCTTTGCGCTGGCACTTGGGTGATTACGGCGACGCGATGCTGGCTCAGCATGGTGGCT